AGGACTTCCCCGGCACCCGCGCCAACTTTGCTGCGCTCCTGCTGCCGGGGAGTCTGGGCGAGGTGGTCGCCGAGCCCGTCAAGTTGAGCCTGGCTCCGGCCGCGCACACTGCCAGCACGGCCTTCCCTGTCGCGTCCCTCTGATCCAGGCATTAGGAAACTTTGAGGAACCAGACTTCTGGCGCTTGCCACTCCCCACCCTCGGTCCCTGAGTGCTCAGGGCTTGTCCCTGGGGATAAGGCTAGGATGCTAGGAAGATACCGAGTTAGGACCCACGGTGCGTGCCGGGGTTGCGCGGTGACTGACCGCTGACTGTACTCGAGTGCGGGTGGTACCCGGAGCTGAAGCAGCAGAAGCAGGGGTGGGTGCCCGTGCAAGGGTTGGAGCCTGCAAGTGCAAAACTTTATAATGGCAAAGCAAAGGTCCCAGGAGGCCAGCTCCCTTTTTTACTGTCTTTGAGACAGACCCCTGAGGCCTGGCCACTCGATCCATGAACAACCCCCCGTGTCTCGCAACAGGCCACCAACGGGATCTCAGCTCAAGCAGCAGGCGCACAGCGGGTGCCTGTGACAAAAGCCAGCCAGCTAGCGGGGGGCTGTTTTCGGGACCCATTTCCCCGGCGCTCGACGGTTCCGGGGACTTGAGGCTCTGCCCGGTTCCATTCAACTCCAACTTGCTCCTACGGTTCTCACTCACCTTTGCGAAGCATGTTGGCCGCGGGGCCGCCGCTCCGAGGTCGGCCTAGGCGCGCTCCCTCCCGGGGTCCAGATTCAAATCCCTGGGCGCCAGCTGCAGCTAATCCGAGCGCGTCGAGGCGGGGGCAAGCCGGGAATCCGCTTGTGCCCGGCTACCCGGTCCCGCAGGGGCATGGTGAGCCTGAGCCCGGCGCCCAGGGCACCGGCGCCCGCTAGCAACCGCGGCGCTGCCAACCAACCCCGTGCGCTCTCTCAGCCCCGGGGCGAGTGGCTTGCTCCGCCGAGCAGGCGGCCTGATTGTGCCGCCCCAAACACTTTGCAAGGCGGTTTTGAGGGGGGACGCCGCCCCCTGGCCGGCCGGCCGGCCGATGTCCCCTCTTCCCCGCCCCCTCGGGCAGCGGCTGCTGCAAAAGGGCGCTCGCTCGCTCAGCCCAGCTCCGGGGAAAGCGCCCGGCGCGCGTTTGCAGGACCGAGCGATCCGCCGAGCGGGGCGCCTCCCTTCCTCCCCCCGGCTTCCCCCACCTCTCTTCCTCCCTCCCTCCTTCCCTCCCTCGCTCTTCAAGCTCCCTCCCTCCTGCTCCGCTCCCCGCCCCCGCTCACGGAGCGCCTCCCATACAAAATTTATGAAAGTGCTCTCAGCTCGCGGTGCGGAGCGCCGTCCTATTCCCAGGGCAGCGGCGCTCAGCCGTGCGGCGCCGCCTCCCAAGGTGTTTTCGCTGCACCTGCCCCCGGGGACGATCCTCGGCCCGCGCCCGTCCAAGTACCTGCCCCAGTCCTTGGCGGGTCGTCGGGCCACTGGAACCGCCCTCCCTGGCCCCGCAGGCTTCTCCGAGCCCGCACCCGCAGCCCAGCCCCCGCCTGCTCGCCCTTCGCGGCTGGAGGTCACGGAGAGAAGCTGCTGGAAGCGTGTACTCGCCTGGAGTCCTGATCACAAGTCCAACACCCTTGCCCCGTCTCCTCCCTGACCGGTGCCCCTCCCTCCTGCTGGGCTCGACGGCTCTTCCCTGCCTGCCTAAAACAGCTCTAGCGAAACAGCGGTCTCCCCATCCCGAGTCCCAAGACACTGTTCTTTTGGGGGAGATGTGCGGGACAGCTAGCATTCGAGAAGGTCTAGTTGAAAATCCTATAAGGAACTACTACGAGTTCAGGTGAATTATCTCCGACTGGAGGGCTGCTAGTCCCCACCGGTCCTACACAGACCCCCGCCCGTGCGAGGATTCTCCAAACGGGGAGGAAGTACCTCCTGGAAAGTGGGTCCTGCTGGGGCCCTCTGGGCCAAGTGCCGAGAAGGTTCAAGCCAGCAGAGATCCTAGGTGGAGGCCGGCACCCCCTACTGGCCTGACATAAGAACAACTCCGGGGAGAAAAAAAAAAAAAAACGACTGGACCAGGTCACTCATTGAACATATTAAGAATTATTATATGTGTTACACTGTGTGGAAATTCAGCCAATGAAAAAGAGAAGGTCCTTGTCTTCCTGAAGTTTATATTCTAATAGGACCAAATGAGGAAAGTCCAGTGAGATGGTAGTGCCTGGAAGAAAAACAGGAAGGTGTTGCTCAGGAGCTGACCTGGGGTGGGGGAGGGGGTTGGGGTGGGGATGGAGCTGATTTGACACTTGCCATCTAAACAGAGATCTAATAGAAGTCCTCTGTGGAGTAAACGTCGTGATAGGAAGATCAAAAGCAAGGTCATTATCATTCATGCACTCATACAGGCACTCAGTACCCTGAGGCCTCCTGGCTTCAGCTCAGGATAGAGACCTCATGACAATCAAAAGCATATGATATTATAGAGAGGGAGAAAAGGCCCACAGGCTGTGTTCAAATGTAACAAAAGTTACAAGATACAGGATGGGGCCTGGCGTTGGTGGCACACGCCTTTAATCCCAGCACTCAGGTGGATCTCTGTGAGTTCGAAACCAACCTGGTCTACAAGAGCTAGTTCCAGGACAGCCTCCAAAGCCACAGAGAAACTATGTCTCGAAAAACCAAAAACAAAAAGAATTCAGGATGGGGATGACCAGAAAGCAACTTAAGGTGTGAGAATCAGAAAAAGAGCCCTTGAGGTCTGGATTCAACAGGCTGACTGGAAAGGGCACCCAGGAAGGATGGAGTGTGTGGAAGGACAGGATGCCAGGAAGGACAGGATGCACAGTTGTTTTAAGATGTGAAGTGACCTTATTTAGAACATTCCTCAGCTTGGTCTTTCTAGGGTTGGGGGCGCTAAGGCATTCTTTCTTATAGTCCCTGCCAGCTGCAGGACTCCCCTGACCCTGCACCACCTGAGTCCTGTCAGACTAAACTGAGGACACTGAGAACTGTGGAGGCAATCCATCAAACTAATGCCTAGAGGTTAAACAGCTTGCACAAGAGCATTCAGTAATCCGTGATAAAGTGTGGGCCCAAATGTGGGTATGCTATTCCTTTTCCCACCCTCCCATGCTGCCGCCTCCCCATGACCTCCTTGCCCCACAAACTCCAATATGTTGGGTAAAGTTGGGCGGCATGAGTGTGAGAAGCAGTTATTTTGGGATTCAGGAGGGCTGGATGCTGACTTGGAGTCCAGCCAGGGGATGGGGGTGTCTGTAGGTGGGTGCTGTGGTGTAATGGGGGAGGGGGTTACACTGAGCCTGTCTTCTCATCAGGCAGTAATTACTCAGACTTCTGAGTAACTCAGGAAAGAAGACCCTCACAGACAGATGGAAGTATCTCAACCCAAGCTGAATGGCAGCTACCATTGTCCTGCACAGTCAGGTCTTAGGGACACACTCAAGACTGTATCGCAATGCAGTTTTCCTCTGTATCGCCTGGCTTCCTAATGGGGGCAGTGCTGCTCATTAGTGATGGCATCTCTACAGTAAAGATATGGGAGATGGGGCACACCTCTCACCAGGGGATGAGGCAGCTGCTGGCAAGAGGCCACTGTGCCATTGGTGACAATCTTTCCACCATGGAAATACAAACTAAAGCCAGAAAGGAAGCTGTCCACAGGAAGACTAAGTTTCGGTATGTCCAGAGGGCAGCACTCTGAAGGGTTGGGGATGTTCAGAGAAGCATGGGAAGCCCAGGCTGGACTCTTTATTTTTGGGGGTGAGGGTTTCGAGACAGGGTTTCTCAGTGGCTTTGGAGGCTGTCCTGGAACTAGTTTTGTAGACCAGGCTGGTCTCAAACTCACAGAGATCCGCCTGACTCTGCCTCCTGAGTGCTGGGATTAAAGGTGTGTGCCACCACCACCTGGCCCCAGGCTGGACTCTTTTCAAGGTGAAAGACTGTTCCATGATGAACACATTCTGAGCCAAGTCATACCTGTCCTCAGAGTGACAGAGGGGCACCAACCCTTTCCATCCTGTCCCTTGGTGACTCATGCCCAGCATGCCTAGCCATCTCTCCTTTGAGCAGCCTCCCAGGCAAGGCCTGTCCCTTGGCTGCTTGTTTTTACATCTCTCTGCACCTTAATTAGGGGTTTCCAAGCAGGGAGGGCCTCCAGGGGAGCCTTAGGCCACAGAGCTGTCTTAAAGGGACAGCTGTGCTCACTGGTACCACTGTGTAGAGAGGAGGATGTGAGTGGTGAGGGGTTCAGAGTCCTGATGACCACTGCTCTTGTGGTGCGGACTGCTGAGAGTCGGCCCTGCAGGTGCTTTGTTCTTCCAAAAGGTCAAGACTGTCTCACTGATTCCTCTTCCTTCTCTTTGGGGTCCCAGGAGTGCTGTCCACCGATCAGGAAAAAGGCTATTGCCTGAAGCACAGCCTAGACAGGGCAAAAGCTTGCCAGGACCCAGAAGGTTTAGGGAATTGGAGGCCTCAGGCTGCCCCATCCTTCCAAGAAAGCCTTTTGAGTTTCCATGCTGTCCCATGAGTGCCAGCCTCTCCCATGTCAGCCCTCCACAGGGTGGGCTCAGAGAAATCCACACCAAGCTTTCAGCTTGGGAACCGGGCTAGTAGGCGCTAAGGTTCCATCCTATTGGGACAGCAGAATCCTCTGAGATAATGAATGTGTTATGTCAGCTGACAAGTCTACCTAACCAGGAAAGAACTAGGGTGAGGATGGGGAGCAACAAAGGCCCGGTAAGTCGGCAGAACTTGCTCAGGCACACTCACGGGGTGTGACAGCTTTGAACCAGGCCAGGCAAGAGCGTGGGGGACAAGGTTGCTCAGAAAGCAAGTGCAGAGTGGTCTGAGACCACTAGGAGACCCGGAGGGCTCCGAGAGTCCAGACCTTTTGGACCAAAGGCCGCCCATTGTAGAACCGCCCACATCTCCTCTTTAGTCTCCGCCCTGCGAAAATCCCCGCCCTTTGCTGGCGGCTCGGCGGTCGATCGTGCTGCCTGGGTTCTCCGCGTTCCTCCAGCGCTGCCTTTTTGGTCCCCACGTGGGCTCCAGGGTGATGGCGGCGCTGGTAGTGTCCGAGACAGCGGAGCCGGGAAGCCGAGTCGGCCCTGGCAGAGGTGGGTGTAGCAGCGCTGTGGCCTCCAGACCTCGCATCTCGGGTGGGATCTCCAGGACAGGGCGGGAGGTGACTCCTTTCTTCTTGAGACTCGAGAGTCTCATGTTATTAGAAATTCTGGACTCCCGTCACCAGAGACCCAGGGACCGGTCTTTCGGGACGTGAAGAGTTGTCCGTCCTGGGAGTTTATGACCCTGAGGGCGGAACTACACCCTATCCCGGCGGGCAGAATGACCCCGGAAGAGTGACGGATAAAACGGATTCCGAGGGAAGGGAACCTGGCGCGTTTTACAAGTGGTCTCGGAAGGAATGCTTTTATTTATGGTGTCCTTCACCAGGCACTAGCCAGTGGCCACTAAATGCCAGCCCTGTGCTAGGTGTGGGAGTAGAGTACCACCCTGGCCTAAGGATCTCTACTCAACCGGGGGCGGGGATACCGATGCAAACAGAAGGTGACAGCCTTGGTAAAGGAGGAGGTGCCTGCCTACTGCTCCTCATGCTAGCACATGCCATGTCCCAAAAG